AACAAAGCTGAGATACAAGAATACAATTTTCACACCAAACATTCTTTGGTGTGAAAAAAATCCTAACATTTTCTTGAACAAAAGATTTATTTAGCTTTTGAGAGTAAAGGATTAATTTTGCTCATGATACAGTTCTGACTTATGAAGGATAAAATGGAGTCCTTTCCTTGCAATGAACAAAGTGCAGTTTTTGATCACAAACCAAATTAGCTTGGGCTGCAAAGTTAATAACTGAGTCTATAGAGCCCACTGTTGGCAACATATTTTGTTTTTCCTCTGAAGATCTTAACTTTAGGCAAATTTCATAAATGCAGAGTGTGGTTATAAGCTTGACACAACTATCAAATTACTAAAACACTATTTGCAATGCACCTTTTTACACAAATCTTAAGGTTATTTAGAAATGTTCTGAAGATAGAAGAAAAACAATTTCCTCAAGTGATGATCACAACACAGGACATCGCTATCTAGTAGATATTAATGCCAATGAGGCTTAAAGAGAAGCAGCTGAGAAACATCCTCGGACATAATATTATTTCAGTTAACAAATGCTGCCTCCAACTGTCGGCTGTAGTGAACAACAGATTCCTTTAAAATTCAGTCAGAGGATAAATTCTGAAGATAAATCTGATAGAATTACATGTTGCTAATAAATTACTGGATAAATATATCTTTGCATAACAAAATAGTAGTCCCGACCCTAAAGGATTTACAATCCAAGTTTTTAAGAGGGTCACTTCTCCTTATCTGGTCACATGATGTAGTTTCTGCTTCCCAAGAAAACACGATGATAAATTAAGAACTAGTGAATAATGAACAAGTGCTGCAGGGACTGGCTTTTTGTTCTTTGTTCAGTGCCTAATACACTAATCTGACTGGAAAACTTTGTTACTATAATAGTTGCATGAAATATACATAACATGTACATTAACAAAAGGTATGTAGTCTTGATTCAAACTGAATGCTTCTGATCACTTTTTCAGTGATAGGAAACATTCAGTTTGAATCAAGAGACAGAAACTTTATCATGTGACCAAACAAGGAAAAGTGCCTGACAAAGTATAAACTTCGGATTGTAAATCCTTTTGGATTGGGACAGGTATTTTGTTATGCAAACAAAATAAAGCTTTTTCAGCATTTGACCCTCAAAGTGTTAAACTTCTATTCCCATGTAAAAGCAACAAGGAGTCCTGTGACACCTTATAGACTAACAGATGAATTGGAGCATAAGCTTTCCTTGGCAAAAGACCCACTTCGTTTGACAAAGTGGGTCTTTGCCCACGAAAGCTTATGCTCCGATTCATCTGTTAGTCTATAAGGTGCCACAGGACTCCTTGTTGCTTTTGCAGATCCAGACTAACATGGCTACCCCTCTGATACTATTCCCATGTAGAAACTAAACACAATTTTGCAACTAGCGGCCACATCTGTATTAATACTTGTTTATATTTAATATAGAGTATTTTATTATTGGAATCCTCCCCTACTGGGGGGAAGACAGTGACTCGTGGTCCACAGGAACATTGTCCAAAGTCCATGAAAATTTTTTGATTGGCCTGATGGTCCATGGACTGAAACGAGTTGAGAATGCAGTGATCTAGGATGATCTCAGATTTCTTTCATTTTTTAGGATGGGATTTTCAAAAGCACATGGGGGACTGACTTTCTTAGATGCTTTTGAAAATCTCTATTAAAAGCTTTTATTACCTCAAAACCCAGCACACAAATTCCAAAAAAGCATGGCTAGAAGAAAGGAGGAGTGTAGATAATTTTGACAAAGAGTACATGACCACATTCTTCGTCAAAGCCCAAACGGCTGGAAGGACAGGCAACTGTGCTTTCAGGAAACTAGATTAAGAAAATAAAACATTTCTGTTTGTCCGATGCTCTCATTCTAAGCTTTGCAAACGCCATGAGAAACCACAATGAGCCATTCCTACAGCTGTAAGACATAAGACTAAACAGAATTAAGTGAAAAGCTGATTCAGAACTAACTGCATTTTCCAAGTTAATTACAAGAATGTCTGTCTGGTGAAGATGGGAGCACAGTTCATACTAGAGGCTCCAGAGTTTGGAAGAATGAAGCGGGAGGCCATATTTGGTACCACAAAGTGGTATACATGTATCCCAATGGCCAAAGTTCTTTCAGCCAAGCTGTGTAATGTATTGGTACAACCTGTGTGCATTATTGTAGACAATAGGCCTGTTACCCACACAAAATTCTTTATCACTCCCGCACTCTAGCGACACATACCTTTACCCAATTCCTAGGGTTCAAGATATAACCCTGTTCATTTAAATACCCAGCCTTACCCAATTCCAAGGGCTCAGTGTATAACCTCCTTCGCTTCTGCAGGATCTTTTACCAGTGAAAGCCTTACACAGTAATATCCTTACTATTAATTAACCATTACCAAGCAAGCAGATTACACATACTGTGCCATGCTCACCATTCATGATCAAGACAGGCAAATTTCCCCTATTGGTCAGTCTCTTCTGGATTCCAGTAGGTGCACATCACAGAAGATTCTTGGCAGCTCTGGTCTTAGGCTGTGTCTTGGAGGTGAGTTCTTCTGCCAGGTCTTTCCCCCTCCTCCTTTCTGTTTCTTCTTTTCCTTTCTTCTCTTCCTGCTGGTCTCCTCCTTGGACCCCAGTTTATATAGTGAAATTTGAGTCCTGTTTATCTACACCTCAATCAATTATTTTATTAAAATTTTACTAACCAATCATAACATCCTGTAACAGAATTAACTAACCAATCATACTGCACCACCTTAGTTGATTTACATGTAGCAAAATTAATATACAACAGACAAACAATTAAAAACCAGACAAACAATACAAAAGTGAGGACCATAATCATAGAATGAGAATTTCACAACCCTGAATATTGATAAGGAGTTTCTTGCCTGACGAAATGCTATCAAACTAAGTTTTCTTTACCCATCTTGAGATCTGTTTTTGGAGCTAGAGATAGTAGGACCTACTTCTAAACAGCCTGGTATGATGCTGTGTTAATGCAATTTAGATGGAATGTGAGTATGGGACTCCCTGCTTTATAGCTAATGGCTGCTACTCTTTCAGCCTGGGTACAGATGAAGGCCTCACAATATGGCTACAGAAAAAGGCCCTATCCTGACACACCAATGATAATCTATTTATGACATTTTAAAGTCAGTTAATCAATTTATTTTGCAGCAGCTGTAGCTGCTCAACTTTATGGGTAGCAGCTCTTTTTCACGGGGGTCCCAGTAGGGAGCTGAGACCCTCGCAGCTAGGTGCTGTTACCAGCTGGGCATGTAACCCCGCTGAGTTTCCGCTCATGCTGGGACCAAACCCCACTGCTGCTCTGCAATTGAAAATGCAGCAGGAACCAGGCAGCCTGCCTCCCAGCTCCTGCTGCATTTTAAATTGCAGAGCTGCAGCAGGGTTTGGTCCTGGCAAGAGCTAGGAGTGAGCCAAGTTGCCTGCCCACCTGACCCCTACTAAATTTAGGAACCAAGTGGGCAGGCGGCCCGGCTCAGTTTCTGCTTGTGCCAAGTCGGGAGCCAAACCCTGCTGCAGCTCTGTAATTTAAAATGCAGCAGGAGCTGGGGGGCAGGCTGCCTGGCTCCTGCCACATTTTAAATTGCAGAGCTACAGCAGGGTTTGGTCCTGGTGCAAGCTGAGACTGAGTTGGCTGCATCCCCCATCAAGTAATAGATAAAAATTCTATTGACTACTCGATTATTAAAATAACCTAATTTTAACATCCCTACTGCAAACACATACCAAGTCTGACATTTAAACAAGTTTGTTAATAAATTATGGATGGTAATGTACAGGCATGGCAATTACACAAGCATTGCAAGAATTTGCTGCGCAAGTGATGAGAACAACTTCCAAGTGTGACTAAAATCTTTCTTCATGCTGGTAATAACTACTGTTTTACATTTCAAGATGAAATGGAGAGACTAGTGGCTTGAACCAGTGTAATGTAGAGAAGTTTCACACTGCCTGCCCACAGTGACCAATTTGATCCTCAGTGATCATAATTCTATATCATTCTCTCCAGTTCTAGACCTGTCTTTTTATGTTCATGCTACTAGCTTCCATTTCCTTCTTTGGAACATTCCTAATTTCTATGACCTTTTGATTATATGGTAATGAAAAGTGTGTATTTGAATACAAAATTATAAATGCCACCTGAGAAAATACTACTACAGATACTGTTAAGGAAGAGGTATATATGTATGTAGGAGGATTGCTAACAGCTAAAGCTTGTGTTTCTTTCCTGGACAGAATCTACAGAAGCTAATATAATTGGTCATCTAGGTCTCCACCTGAGATTTTCAATGGCTCCTGAAAATGCAACTCAGATCTTCAATGATGTTAGCCAGATAATCTTTGATTAAACTTTAAAAGAAACATTACTTTCTGGATGCACAGAATAGGGAGACACATGCTAGAGAGTTACCAGACAGCCAGCAAAGGAGATCTTCATACTTCTGTACAATCTAGCATATGGATTTAGAATGCAAAAGAAAAGGACGTCTCTGGAGTGATCTTCAGACTAAACAAGTTGATCTTTTATTGTTATAAGCCTCTTATAGCACTAATAAATCTCAGAAAAGGTGACCTCACCATGAGGCATTTATCTGTTTTACATCCTTTAGAAAAGGCATGTGAATTGATGTTTATCAATAGATGGCTTGTTTATTGAATTGATCCAGGCCCTTTTCTTTCTACAAGGGAGAAGAGAGATTTATTTTCTTAATTTTTGAAAAACATAAAAATGATATAACCAACATAAGAACAAAATACCACTTTTAGGGTCAAGATGAACATTTATATTTTGTTTCTGATTTGCAATGTGCAAAACCAAATTTCTGCACATACTATGAATTACTGACGATTGGGGACTAGCAGACAAAGTGAAAGAAGATGGGTCACTTGATGATTACTACTTCTGTTCATTCCCACTGGGGTGCTTGGCATTGGCCACTTTTGGAAGACAGTATACTGTGCTAGATGGGTCTTTAGTATGACTCAATATGGCCATTCTTATGTTCTAATTAAATTAACCAAAAAAGGGTCCATGACAAGAGTGTAAAAATACACTGCTGAATACTTCTGCTGGGAACACAAAAATGTGCTAGTGTGTTTTCACATGTAAACAGTATTATATGTAAGCAAATTCTAGATATAGCTGTATCTCTCAGGTGGGAGGGGGACAAAACACCAAGGTTTGCCCATTTCTGTGCTAAAACTAGTGAACAGGGATTTCAAGAAATGCTGTTAACTCAAATTGTTGTAAATTTTTTGTTGGGGGATTTTTTAAGGGCACATGAAAGATAATGGGTGATGTGTGGGTATGAAAATGGCCAAATATTAGCTTCACCACGCTGACATTTTTTAGTTCATTATTCCCAACACATTTATTTTAGTTGTTTTCCTCCTGGTCATTTTCAGATACACTGTAAAAAAACTTTTTTTAAAATCAAGCTTTAAAGCACATAGTACGCTTAAATAATAGAAAGCACACACCGTACACTTAAATAATAGATACATTTAAATTATTTTGAAGTGAAAGCTCAGTCTAAGTCTCAAGCACCTGACAAATATTCCATTTTCAGGAAGTGCAATTATCCAACTCCAATCATCAACACTGTCACTAAGTAAATGCCAAATTCTGCTTGCAAAGGCATTTTGATGGAAGCTGCAGTTAAAGAGAGGAGTAGAATGATTCTAATAATTTTGGCCACATGAAGTTTTGAGACATTAAAAAAAATAGTTTTAAGATGTACCAGAAACCACGCCTTTTCAAAACAACTTTATTTGTGTCGCTAACTGCATTAATGTTTGCTTTCTCTCATTGAAAGTCCTAATTTTTATCAACGTTTTGTGCGTAAGCTCCAATGATTCATCCCACTTGTTCTTTTCTGGGCTTGTGTATGTTACCAAGTTCTCAGTATACTGCAGGACTGACTTTAGAAACCTACAAGAAATACAAAATATGAAATAATAATTCTTAAAAAGACTTTCTAAAGCAAAGACAGGCCAGACCTTGATAATGCCCAGACCGGTGCTACTACTTTTTCCAGATTTTCAGGTTTACCAACCCTCACTTTTCTTTTGTCTAATGCAAGGGTAAGCAGATAAAAAGAAAAGGACACTGACATGCAATAATTTTCAGAATTGAACCAGTGTACAACAAATGTAGTATTATAGAAATATAAACAGTTTACAGAGGAGCTCTCTCCTACAGTTTTCTTTATAATGCCTGTGATCTCCAATGAAGCGCAGAATAGGAATAATGAAGTTGATTACATGGTAAATGAAACATTTATTATGCACTATTTATTTATTTTGTGCTTGAATGTGAGACTATCCTCTGATTTGTGCCCATGAAAAATTTAATAAAATTTGAGCCTGTATAGCTGAAACACATGTAAACAAAGGCATTTGAGTTAATGAACCACTCCCTAGTTCCCCAAATTGTTACTGAAAAGATAAAGGAAACAGACTGACTACCTGATGTTACCACATGCTGTTAACCTGTAATTTCAATAATATAGACCAAAGGTTTTCAAAGAAGGGTGGAGTCCATGTTATTCACTTATTTTAATAAAAACAAATACTATATATACTCACTTTAGATACTGCTGATAATCATAAGGATTCTTCTCACAAACAGTATGGATGCTGATTAGTTCCAGCGTCATCAAAATTAAAATCAGCCGTAACACAGGAGACAAAAATTTAATGCTAGAAAAAAGCAGACATTGTAATACAATTTTTAATACAAAAATAGTCTATGGATTTCCTGTTTTACCCTAAAATGGTCATAGGGACTGAAAATTTGGAGTTGAAGTTCACATAAAATAAATCCAAACATGTTAAGTAACAGAAACACACAATTAGGGGACACAAAAACAACTACATTAACCTTTGCCCTGTAGTGACACTGTGAAATAAGCATGTAACCTAAGACTAAGGCATTTTAGCATTTATAAACTCTGATAACATTAAAATTATTTCTAATTTATTAGATTTCTAGTTTCCCTGACTGCAAATGTATTTTGAGAACTTAATCACAGACCTCTGTCGTCAGTCAGGCGGTGTTGTCTCAATGGGTTCCTGACAGGCCTTTTACTCGTCGATGATGATAAACTATCAGCTCCATGTCATAGAATCATTGAACTTATGTGAGTATGGGTGCTCCCCTGTCTAATGCGTTAACCATGCACAATTAGTCAACATGACAGACTCCGAGAGAACTCACAGAGATCACAAATCAGATGAGGATAGAAAGCACAACTAGGTTTTATTGCCAAGAAAGTACAATCATAGTGGTCAGCAAGCAGACTCCCCACTGCACCACTATACATATGTACTCTGTGACAACGGACCAACACCCAATTAACGCTCTGGATATTAGCATCACCTCCTTGGTCAGCCGATGACCACCCTATGAGGTGCACTTTTATACACAGGTACAAACAAGTTACATATCACTCCTGACATATCAGGTTGCCTCCCACTGTTAGCTAGTTACTGTCCCATACCTCACAGAGGGGGGGTTCAATTACTATTCATCATGCTATCACAGTTTAGACCCAGTCCTGAACCTGGGTCAGTATGTATGTTATTTGTGGGGAGGCAGTTGGTACCAAGATGTTTCTTAGTGAGATATTCTGTTACTACTCCCTGGCATGTGCTCACAGCCTATTCCTAGTACCGCTTAAGTATGAGTGTTTCTGTAATATCAGCCCTGTTTTTGCCAACTTCTGTGAATAGGGTCTCCCTCTTGCTCACAGCTTAATTCTGCTTTATATTAGCAAAGTCTTGAACATTGCTGTCTAGGGCCTCAGGCTTCATACCTAGCATGTGATATGTGGGCTTATGTTTCAGGCCCTCATCTTACTACAGCCCCAAGCAACACTGCTGATTAGGGGTTACATTAATGCACTGGTCACCAACCAGACAATCGCAATCAACTGGTTGATCACAGGGACATTAACAGTCAATCGCAAGGCAGTGTTCCCAGCTCCCACTTCCCCCTCCCTGCAATGATGAGCCCATGCTGGCACTACAGCCTCCTGGCCCTCACAAAAATGGAGCTAGCTTTGGCTTCCTGCAGCATGGGAGGAAGTTCTGAGGCTTCGCACCAGATCCGGCTTCTCAGAAAGCGTGTGCACTGTTGTAGGCAGGGGAAGAGCAGCACACATACTTCCCGAGTAGCCGGATCTGGTGCAGGGCCTCGAGACTCCCCCTGTCCCCCGCTGCAGAAGGCAGGCAGCATGGTGAAGGAAGGGAAGACAAGAAAGCGCACGCTCCTTCTCTTTCCACAACAGCAAGCACTTTCTTGTCTTTCTTCCCTTCCTTCCCCGTGCTCCAGGGAGGCTGGGGGAGGGGCGGTAGTTAAGATGGTGGTGCAGGATCCAGAGCAGCAGGATTTCTTAAAGGAGCCAGGTGTGTACTTCTTCCAGTACTGCCTGTAGATCCTGCCCGAGAGATCCTTGTTCCTGGAGACCCCCTCCAGGTACTGGCCGAGCTACACCTGCCCACTCTCCCCTGGCCAAACTCCCACCAGTACCCTGCTCCCTGGAAAAGATGCCATCCAGAACCCTGCCCTGGACACCTGGCCAGATACTCATCAGCACCTTGCTCTTGCCCCCTCCCTCCTGGCCAGACACCTACCCACAGCTTGCTCCTAGGTACCCTACTTCCCACTCAGATTCTGCACCCCCACCCCATCCCACTCAATGGCAGCTCTGTCGTACACACTGGATCCCTCATTTTTTGGCCCCACCTCTGAGCCTAGGGGGCCCACAAAATACACTAACCTTGGAACCCCAAAAGAGTTAATTTGGCCTGAGGCTGTGAACCTCAGTCATACCTACCCTCGTCCCTCATAGGACTAGAGAGCCAGGGGAGTGAGGCGTCTCAGTTGGGGCCACATCAGTGAGGCTTAGGGGGTTTTGGAGGGGTTGTGTGTTTTTGCATCTCACTTGTGTGGTCCCTGACTGATTTTTCTGTGGGTCAGTGGCCCCTGAGCCAAAACAGGTTCCCCAACCCTGCCATAAGTAGAGACAATGCTGAAACGTTTTGTGTTGGACATAATATTTTATTTAAAAATGAAGCCTGGCCAACAGGCCCCCATCTGGCTGCATCATCATAACACTCCTTACCCCCATACGCCCCAACCCTGAGCCCATCATACACCTGAACCCCCTGCCCTGAGCCTCTCACATATCCAAACTCCTGCACCCCCCACTTCCCCAGCCTTGCTCCACAACACTACTGTGTCCTGAGCCCATCATACACCCAACCCAAACTCCTGCACCCACATATCCGAAAGTCTGCGGCTTCCTCAGTAACCCAACCCTCCACCTGACCCCAACACTCTCTAGCCTGGAGCTTTCTCCTGGAGCCATCATCCCTTTCTCCACCTCCATCTGCACTCGAATTCCCTCCCAGAGCTTACACCTCTCACTCATTCCCACCCCAGAGCCTGCACCTCCTGTCTCCACCCAGTGAGAGTGAATACGGGCTGAGGGCAGCAAATGATGGAGAGGAGGTGAATCAAGAGCACAGGGCCTCAAGGAAGGGGTAGGGTCTTGGGGAAGGGATGGGATAGATCTTGGCTTGCCCTGACATTTGAAAAGTGATCTTGGATGTAAAAAGGTTGGAGACCACTACATTAATGGAATCTTAGTCATTACTCCTCAGCTGAACCAGCATCCTAATCAATAAGATGAAATGCAGCAGTGAAAAGATGGGGACAACCTCTGTAATTCAGTTTTAACAGCCAAGTTTTACCTCCCCCCTTCTTTCTTTATTTTAGTGTTTAGTGTCATCCAAGAGTGCAAAGAAAATGAATCAAACATTTCAATTTTTTTTATTTGGACCCTAATAATTCCAGGTTAGACAACAGAAAAATGTGAAAGATATTATTCCCCAGTTTGAGCTTGCTTGCCATTAATAGTGTATAATGGAAGTTATGGTAGATCCTTAATTCTAAGTAGACAAATTACATAAATCTAGTTAGCATTAACAATTTATAAAAAGAATATAAAAGAATACACATGCAGAGTAAAAGAAAAGTGTTCAGTTACTGTTATATCCTTTTCTTAAAAGTATCCAAAAAAAGATTCATCTCCAAAAAAAGAATAAAAACTTAACCAACCTGTTTAACATTCGTAGATAGTTGTGCCTCTGGCGAGAACGCAGCATCTTATTTATCCACTGTTTGTACTTCATTTCACTGCTGGCAATAACTTGATCTGACACTTGATGGCACTGTGTGCTTATCTTACGGAGCAGAACCAATATTTCCAGTACAGAACGTGGACAGTAGAGAGTACAAATGTGCGTATTACAGAGTTCAATCAATAGCCTGTAAAACAGGAAATATTTCTTATTGTTTCAGTTTTCATTAGCAGAATTTAGAAACTGATAGATTTCACATCAATTTCACTGTAGCTTGAACTAAAAAAATTCTAACCAGATGTCCTAGAAACAGATTTACTCAGTCTCCTCATGATTAACCAAAACAAGAATCTATTCAGCATGAATGATTTGTATTTTCTCTAATTACTGTAAGTAATATCACATCATTAGAAGTCTGAGATATTTCTCATTCTAGACCAGAGCAGTAAAGACATAATGCCACAATATACAAAACTGGCCATAAATATACAAAAGCGACAAGGAGTCCTGTGGCACCTTATAGACTGACTAACAGATGTACTGGAGCATAAGCTTTCGTGGGCAAAGACCCACTTCGTCAGATGCATGATGAAGTGGGTCTTTGCCCACAAAAGCTTATGCTCCAATACATCTGTTAGTCTATAAGGTGCCACAGGATTCCTTGTCACTTTTGCAGATCCAGACTAACACGGCTACCCCTCTGATTCATAAATATACAGTATACACTATCAAATCAGGAGTCTATGTTTTAAACCTCTCACTCATTATAGTTCAGTTCACAATAGACCTGTATCTAAAACAGAAAATTCACCAAAAACAACATACCATGAGCTAATCGTACAAAAAGTAGGAGTACATTATGAACTAGTCTTAACATTTTACAAAATACAAGTAGTAAAGTCATAGCTTTAACAAACACCACACTATATCAGGCTTCATTAAGAGATATTAAAATGCTAACTTATGCTGCTATCTTTATACATGCTAGTCAGCTAATATTAAGTATGTCACAATTCTTGATGGCTACATCATTTCAAATGGTTTGTTTTTAGGGGAAAATTTATTATTAAATAAACAAGATATTTTGCCATGCTAAAACTAACTGAAGAAATGTGAGCAATATTTAGATCTCCAGACATTTTAGAAACAAAAAAGATACAACAAAGCTCAGCTTCTACTTCAAGACTCAAGAAACATAATTTTGGCTAGTAGAGAAGTATGTAGAGGTAAGTGTGAGGCACGCCTATAACACCAATCACAATTATAAGACTAAAATCTCTGGTACAGCGTATTATACAGCACCATAAAGCAGACGGAAGGCATTTTAGTCAAGTTATTGTCATAAAGTTCCTGTGAGTATGTCATCATTTCATTTTCCCAGTTCTGAAACATAAGCATGGTTGTTTCTTCAAGTTATTCTCCAGAGCAAAAAGATTACCATGACATACTGAACCTGTCCCCTTTGTTCTGCGGATGGTTCTCTGTTGAATTCTAAAAACATTTAGATGGAGGAAACTACACTACCATACAGATACCTGTGATGGTTCTTTCAAAAATGCTGCTCTATAGAGATGAGAAGGAACACTTGTGCAGTGAGCTGTCATTACTGCCCTACATTCTTTTTTTATTTCCATATATAAATTGTATTCAGTTGTGGACTCCAGGGTGGAGGAAACTTTAAACTTACTTCTCAGTTAGAAGATTATTCACTGGATCATTTAAAATGAAGCAATTCTGAGGCAAATAGTTTTGCAATTGAGAAAGGATTTCTGTAGTGACAGAAATACAGGGACTAGTATCTGCACTTCTTTCCAACCTTAAAAACAAAGATAAACATTATTTAGAATCTATCACAAAAGTGAAACATGAAAGATGTATGTACAATTTACATCTTGAACACACCTATTTGAAACAAAAGCTATTTTGTTATAGCAGTTTATCCACATGTCCAGTACTACCATGTAATCCTTTGGCTTCTTTCCCCTCCATTTTACAACCAAATTCTTGTGTTTTCCACTTTGAAAGCAACCTCCTCTCAATCTCACCAGCTTCCCTAAACATCATCATCTCATCTCCTTTCTTTCTTCTTCAAAATCCTGCCATGTACTAAATATTTCCATTACATACAGTCAGATTTCCTCTCTTCGATCTCCTCAGGTTCGCTGTTTTCTGTCCCCTCTGTATGTCCCAAACTGCCTTATTTAAGTCACTAATGGCCACCTCATTGTCAAGCTGTAAGAGAAATTCTCATTCTTACTCTACTTAATCTAAGTTTTTATAAGGTCTCCCATCACTGTGGCATTCAAGCTTCTTCTACTAGAAGTGATTTTTGTCATCTTCACAGCTGATTAATTCCCCTTCTTTTTCTTCAACCCTACTCCTCTTTGCTCCTTCTCCACTTTGGTAGCAGGTCCATTAACCTCTCTTTTAGGGAAGGAGGAGCCATACATCTACTGGTATACTTCAGGCTTCTGTTGCTTTCTCTACTTGCCCTATGGTCCTAGAAATATGATCATTTGTATCATTTCAGCTCTCTCTGTGCCAGAGACATCAAGGTATTGTTCTCCATTCCTGCAGTGCCTTGCAGCGGTTTATGAGACACCTCCTCAAGAGCTCCACAATCATCTCAAAACCATTATTTTAAAAGAAAACTGCTTCTCGTTCCTCTTCTCTCTCTACCACCTTCCTTGCTATCATTAGCAACTTCACTAACTGTATTATTTCCAAGGCTCAAACTTCTAGTTTACTCTTCTCTGCCGCCTCCCCTTATGTCCACTCACTTAAATTCTGTCACCACTTTAACATTTCCAAAATCCATTTTTTCCTCATTTTGTCCAGCATCAAAACGGTTGGTCATCTCTTATAATTGTTTTCTGGCTTAATCGTCTTATTTTTACCCCCATACAATCTCTCCAAAAGGCCACTGCTAAAGTTAACGTCCCAGAACTGTGTCAGCATGGCTTTAATTCATATTACCTTCCCTTATTTCTAACATGGCTTCAATTCTGTAGTAGGCTAAATTATTTCTGTAAGTGCAATTTATCAACATTAGCATTTTTAGTCCCAAAATACTTTATGAAGGTACACCATTACTATCTCTTCTACGGAAGCATAGGCAATTTCTTATTCTAAAGCTGTGTGTACACTTGCAATTGCTCGCCAAAACTTTTGTTGTTTGTTGGTACTTAAACTCTCTTCCCATGAATGACAAAGTTTTGCCATGGCAAGTGCACGTGCGAACACTGCTTTGTTGGCAGCAGAGCTCTCATGCCAACAAACTGAACCTGCTCAGTGGGGTGGAAATATTTTGTCAACAAAATAGTCGACAAACAGTGTTCACATGCATTGACTTTTAGCGACAGGGCTGTGTCGACACAGCCTTGTTGCTAAAAGCTGCACTGTGTAGACATATCCTTAGATACAACGTTGCTCATCTTTGAAAGGTGGTAACTAAGCCTCTGAGAAGGAAAACTAAATCTTGAATTCAGAACAAGTAGTTATAGGAATGCAGGAGAGTCTTATTCAAGAAGGTAACAGAATGAAACAAAACCATTTACGCTTGGGGTACATCTACACAGCAGGGCTAAAGTCAAATTAAGCTACGCAACTTCAGCTACGTCAGTTGTGTAGCTTAAGTTGAAATAGCTTAACGTGGCTTTAGGCGATGTCTATACTGCAGGAAGTTGAAGGAAGAACACTCTTCTTTCGACTTCCCTTACTCCCCATGAAATGAGGGTTATTGCAAGTCAGAGTAAGAAGTCCTCCAGCTCGACATTATTTCGAAATAAAGGTTTATAGTATAGGCATGCACTATTTTATTTTGGAATAATGTCAGTTGTTCCAAAATAATGCTGCTGTATAGACATACCCTTAATTAATTAAGCACACTGAATAGTTTCCAGTGAATTGTGTATGCATCCCTAAAGGGAAAACCATAAATGTTTGTAGCCAGGAATAAATGTTTTGGAAGGTCTAGTCTGGACACATCTTAATGCGTTAACCATCTCACGTTAATTGGTAACTTGGGAGTTAAAAACTCTGTGAGTGACCGTACCCTACAGGGCTAGCCCACTTAACCATGGCATGTGGAATATTGCAGTAAATGCATGATTTCACTTAAAGTTAAAATTCTAGAGAAACCTCCATTTTTTATTTAAATGAAGTTCCACAGAATTTCAGGCTGCTGTAACAGACCACTGTGATATGAGGTGTCCTGCTAAAGAATTTAGATCCTACTTACTATGGAGTATACAGAGTCTTATAAATGTGGTTTCAAGGTATGATTTTTTTATATAGATCAGGCATACCCTGTAATTTCTTGAATTTGCTCTTCGGGTACTACAGGGAGCTCAGGCCAGGAACAAATGCTCTTCATACATTCCAGCACCTAGTAAATCAAAATACACCTTAATAAAGCCAAACTTCAAAGTAAAATATAACTAATATGAGATACCATGTCATAGCAACACATTTTACTATTTTTTAAAAAAATCTCTATTACTGCATCTTGTAAGCAATTAAAGGCATGTACATCCAAGACAAAATGTGTGGAAAGTCTAAAATAAATGAAAAGTTCATGCCACAATATAAACTTAAGTTGCAGACATTTCTTACTTTTCCCATCATTTAACATCAAAGAATTACTCATTAGTATCTCTAATGTACTTCATATCTTCACTAATTAAAAAGGTATGTATGATGGTACTATCTAATACAGAGCCAAATCTATAAAGATAAAGAGAGAGACTATCAAGAAGTTCAGTGATTCTCAAATCCACAGATTACTCTCAGGTGTTGTGCCCAAAGGGGCACCGCTCCGTGCTTCTGAGTCAGGGGTGTTCATCTCCCGCTGACCTACTCTAGTGCTGTTCCCACCTAGCCTGCTCACCCCCCCACCCCCATGGAGCTTTCCCCAGCCATGCTGCTCCAGAACAATTAAAACTACAATGAATCACAACCTTTCAAAAAAAATTAATTGCAATTATTGTTTTAAAATCATTTGACAGCTCTAATACATACTGACATCTCTTACTAGTTCTTGATTAGGCTACAACATTTATGGCTTCCAAAGGCTTTTTGACAAAGTAAAACAAAGTCTCTAGGCAGTGGCAGCTAACTTCATATATTTGTCAAATGCCTCTTTAATACATAATCAACCATCAACAAACCATAACGAGTAACCTTCAAATTAGTGGCGCAGCAAACACTGAGGCTACGTCTACACTGGCCCTGAAAGTAGGAATAAGAGATCCTCCAGAAAAGGGCTTTATTCCGGAGGATCGCGCCAGTCTAGACGCTTTTTTCTGGCTTTTCCCCAAGCCGGAAAAAAAGCGGCGGACATGTTTATTTAAATCCGCGGGGGATATTTAAATCCCCTGCGGATTTCCCTATTCTGACTTACCTGCTTTGCAACCTGCTTTGCATCCCTTTTCCGGAATTTGGGGCCAGTGTAGACGTAGCCACAGAGATGGAACCAAACTGTAAGAGAACCTGAAAATGCTGATCCATGTCCCCAATACACTAAGAGTCATGCACTAACAAGTAATCTTAAAAAATGGGGATCTGTAGAAGACATAGAAATGTAAATCTGGAAGGAACCACAAGGGGTTACCTAATTCAGCCCCCCAACACTGAGGCAGACCCAAGGACACCTGCACTATCCTGGACAGGTATTTATCTAACCTGTTCTTGAAAACTTTCAATGACAGGGATTCCAAAATCTCTCTTGGAAGTTAACTATTCTTATAACTAGACAGATTTTAACTAATATTTAACTTCTGTATTGAACAAGACAACAAAATAAACTGCATGGGTAGAAAAAGTTTAATTTCCTTCAAAACCCTGTTATTCAGGACAATTAAAGCAAAAAGACAACAGTTACACATTTTTTAAGATGTATGGAATATTTACACTCTTTGTCATATCTACATACCTGTTTCTTAAGTCGGGCAACTGGATGAAACCGAGAGTGGTAGCAACTTGCACAGCTGATCAGTGGTTTAATGACTGTGTGTTCCTAGTTTACAAAAATAAATGGTAACATGCACTAATTTTTAAAAAACTAGATTCTGATCCTGTGAAGATTTATGCACATGCTTAATTTTAGATATGACAGTCTCATTGACTAAGGATGTTAAGGACTAGTTGACTATCTGATAAGCAAATGCTTATCATAGTCAGTCGACTAGTCGATTCTCCCCTTCTCCTTTGCTGCCTCTATCAGATAGAGGCAGCAAAGTGGGTGGGGTGGGGGAGCTCGGGACCAGCTGTGTGGCGCTGCCCTTTGAATGCCGCCTCAGTGTTTCAAAGCAGCAGTGCAGCACAGCTGATCCCAGGCTTAGCTTTGCGGCGCTGCCCTTTGAACGACTGGATATGACTCAGTACAGTGCCTAGCAAAAATCACATTTCCATTATTGTATCAAGTTCATATTCATAGCTGCATTCTCTTAAAGACTAGAGGAAGTCTCAGATTTTATCTCCATAACCAATTCAGCCACACTTTAGTGTGCACACTTTTAGGTACTTCAGTGGAAGATACTGAAAAAACAGGAGGCAGTTCATAGTTGAGCTATCAGGGAGATAAACAGCAAGATGGAAAGGACAAAATGATAGTCTTAAACTGCATACAGACAGTTTTGGTAAAAAAAAAAAAAAAACCAGGAGTGAAAACACAGTTGTAAAAAGCAAGTGTTAACAAGGAGGTGTGAAAGGAATAAAACAGGTTAGAGTTGGGAAAGATAATATTGGGGACAGTTTTTCTATGCTTCATTTCTGTATTACAATCTAACAGAAAAATGCCAGGAAAATATTTAAAGTTTAATGTAGACCCTGTTGCCACAATAAGGTGCTGAGGGTTAAAACAATTAAAGGTGTAGCCCATTCATAGTTTTTAAATCATATTTGGCACCTACAGAATTATACATTGTTCAACTCGCACTAGCCCTTACCTTAAGTTCTGAGAGTTCCTCCTCTTCTGAAAATTTGTATAAAAGTGTAATTGAAAATGCAAGTATCTGATTGGCTATTTCTCTTGGAAACTCATTTAAGTTGACCTCACCATGGCTTAAATGATCTCTTACACGAGGACCCTCTTGATGGTTCAAGAAATCCCAAAGGAATTCCTGTAGAATCATTTGTGGAGAAAACTAAGTACACAAAACAATTCTACCGAAACTGTAATAAGCATGCATTTCTTGGGGGAACAAAAAGCACTTAGGTCTGTATGAAATGGAGCACTTAGAGAGACAAGGGGAACCCACTAAAGCCCACTTCTTTAAAAAGACAACTGCCACCTTGGGAAAGATATGAGAGGGGGAGGGGGGGAACCACACCCCTACCCACGATCAACAAGAATAGCTGAAAATTACTAAAATTAAGCAAAGACTCCTGAGTCCATACATTATAGTTCTGGCAAACAGAGTAGAGCTGAAGATCAGAAACAATGAAGTAGTCTGGATGGTAATATGATAAACAACAGTTAAAAGGAATAAAGTTAAGATGCTAATAATAAATAGCCACCTTCCAATTTAAAAAATTCATGCCTATTGGCAATTTGAGTTTCTTGATGCCAGATAATAAGGCCAATTCCCTTCAAATACTGATGTTCTCAAGTTGGGTGTCCAATTCCTCTTCAACATCCTGTGCTGTTTTAGCTAACCTTATATTTACCTGATAAGTATTATTTTGCACCTTTCAAAATGGGGGCTCCTAGGGTCATGATCATCTTGTGTCTAAAGTATCTATGATATTCACAGACTATCAATTATAAATGTACTGCTAAATCAAAGGTACTTAATACACATACCATTGCAGGCTCTCCAAGAATTAGAGGAAGCTGATTGATCTCTTTGTCACTCAACTGTTTTGTTAGCATCTAGAAAAAAAAAATCATCTGAAACTGAAGACAACTTAAGATTGAACAAACCCCATGGCTATAAAGCTGAATGAAAAATACCAATATTACAGTAGGAAGCATCCCTAATATTAAACTATTGCCAAATCTCCAGCAACCAAATGAACTATTTTATTTAACAGTGATAGATAATATGGGATAACAAAATATTTTGGCTTTTGGAGAGTCAAATAGGAAAGAAATGGGTTATTATAGGCTGTGTGCTTGTATAGATATTGGCATTTACTACAAACAGGTGATAAAAGAACATATGTTGTTTTAATTAATGACAGAAAGTAAAGCTGTTTACAAGACATTTAGTTACCACCCACTCACTAAGTAACAGGGACAGAAAAATATTTTATAGCTTTCATTTTTATTGAAAAAACCTTGTGGGATCCTAATGAGTTCCACTTTTCAGCTTTGGATTCTGTATTTCACTCTGTTGCAGCTTTTGGGAGCAAGCAATTTTCCTGATTTTATGTACAGCAAAACCATCCTGCTTTGGAAACAGACCAGTGTTTATCGGATTAATAAGAGGACTGAAAGAAACAATTCTAGTTCACATAAACTCTTTTGATTTTATGCTGCATAGTTGATCTTGGATCAAGAAACACAGTGTAAGAGCTGTATGTTAGTATGGCCACTGCCGAAGTAGGGGCTTCATGGCTCTTTTTCCTTAAAATAGAAATGCTGGATATTAACTTTCCCAAAATATAACAAATCCCATTCAATGTAGGCAAGAGACTCAAAAGTTTAATAATGGAAATGTGTACATATCAAATGTGAGAAAATCTTCACGTGTCCATGGTGGGAAATGGCTTACTGATGATTAGTACTAAAAAGTGACTGTGTATATAGATAAAAAACAGTAACAGGGTCACAATATAGATCAATATGAAACATTTCATGCTAGTCATGATATCTCATTAAGAATTATAATTTATTGTTTGTACCAGGCCCAAAGGACAGGTGGTGAGCTAGTATCCCTTCTTTATATATCACTGCTTCAGTCACACTTAGAATACTGTGGACACTTTGGAGCAATTTAATGGAAAATAAATACTGATTAACTGGATGAAAATCAGAGTTTGGCTATCAAAATGACAAAAGATTAGGAAGAAAATACATTAAAAATAGGCACTGAGGAGCTGCCAGGAGTTTATAGATGCTTTAGTAAGTCTTATTTTCTCTGTCTCTACTACTTCAGGTATGTGAAATCTTTTCTTGACTACAAAAAGTTTGTGGAATCCAGGGATGTTAGAAATGAGGTTATTTTACTAATTGAATACTTGATAAAAAGTCTATCGACTACTCAATTAGTCGATAGGGGAAGGCAGTTGGCTCAGTTCCAGCTCGCATCAGGATAGCTGTAGCTTTGCAATTTAAAAGGCAGTAGGTGCCGGCCAACCTGCCCTCCAGCTCTTACTGTGGGGGGCAAGCGGCACCACAGAGACAGCGCTGCGGGGAGCCAGCTTTTAAGTATAGAGTATACTGGTATAGAGGCACCAGGGGGAGGGGAGAGATGAGTAACTGACTCGACTACTCTTTTACATCCCAAGTGGAATCATTATTTTGAAAAGATTTTCAGCATGGTCCATTTGTATGATGATAGGCATCTAGCTCTTCAATTTATTTTAGTATATTCAAGGAAACAAGAGCATTGTTACATCTTTCTGATGGCTTGAATCACATCATAAACACTTCACATAAAAACCAGGGTTCAAATATTGTAAATGATTTACAGTTAACTTACCTCATCAAAAGTGGTATAAAGAGAAGAGGACTACAATAGAAAAAAAAGCCATAGTAATAATTCCATTTTCAGAAATGAACACTGAAACCAATTACACTTACATATTGACCATGGCCAACCTGAATTGCTATACATTTGGAACTACCTCTTTAAGGACAAAAAGGAGTAAAAATAGCATATGCAGTTTTCCACTGTAGCCTACTACATCCAAGTGGCAGTAGCATACTGTTATACTTTTCAAACTTCAATAAGCAGAGGAAGAGAACTGTCACGTGAGACTCTAAAAGAAGTACCAGAGGTCTGTAAAAGATTAAACTATACAGCTTTTTAGAGGACAGTAAGTACAATTCTAAACTATTTTAGAACATCTCAGAGGGGTAGCTATGTTAGTCTGTAACTTTAAAAACAACAAATAGTCCTGTGGCACCTTAGAGACTAACCAGAATATCATGTCTTAGGTACTTCTTCTGCTGTTTTTTTAATGTTATATTTATCATAATAGAGATTCCATGATCATAAAAAAACCTACTTCAGCAGTTAGCAGTCTATTTGGACATTTATTAACTGTGGTGAAGAGTAATCTAAGTCCAGTTTCCAGCTGAGGGAGTAACAGTATAACACAGTCAGCATACCTGCAAAATTAGAGGAATGCATGCAAGATTTTAGTTTTTTCTTAAACATACACTAACCCTTGTGGAAAATGTATTACAATGATTACTGTAGGCAAGAACAAGGTCAACTGTACTTACAAACATATAATAAATGACAAACCTTGCCCAGAAAATAGCATTAATATAAACAAACACAAGATACAACAGGTTGGGGTACAATATAATGAATGGAAGAGAAGACAGAATTAACATGGCATATTATTACGGAGCTCAGCAAACCTACAAAGTTTGCACATTTCAATTTTTAAAAATTAATTTATTGTAATGCTGTGTGTCAGTCTCAATTTTCTGTGACTGTCATATAGATTCTTACACTGTTTAGTGTTCTAGCTATCATTTGTCCATTGAAGAGGTATGTTATTCTCTCATGTGTTTCACATAACAGTGTAAAACACACACACACACACACACTTCTCAGGTGTCCCTGCTTGCTTGTGTAAGGGGACTGTTACCCCCTTACTAAAACTCTGTGGGAGTTTTTTGGTTTGCCAGCTCCCAGTTTCAGAAGGGGAAGGGTTCATGAGACTGACAGACCCCAGAGACAATGGAAAGCAGTCAACACTCCAGCTCAGCCTGACTGGCAGGGTGTAAGTGGGGGTTGTTCTGGCTCTCTCTCTGAGCAAACAGGGAGCTGAAAGAGCAGAGCGAGCTGTGTGCAGGAGAGGTCCTGCAAAGACAGAGATCTGAAAGAGGAGTACAAGAAGAAGTCCTGCAGCGACAGAACCAGACACAGACAGGCCAAGCAGTGCAGACCCTGTGTTGAGCAGCAGACTGGCAGTGCTCAGAAAGCCAAAAGGAACAGAGAAACAACACAAGGAGCTGGAACTGGCCAAGCAGCACAGCCTGCAGCTGGATGTGGTGAGCTACTGGGACCTGCAAAGTGTGGGGAAAGGCTCTGGACTGGGAGAGGGGTCTGGCCACTTAGAGACTGAGGCTGTGTGGTCACTGCCAGTGCAAGCGTGTCCAGCCTGCAGCCCCTTGCAGCACATCCAGGGCTTCTAAGGAAGAGACTGTGAACTGTCCTTACACTCTGCAGACTGCTGTGTTGATGTCCCTGTGCTACAGAGCAGGGCTGTGTGTTCTCATTTAACCATTCTCATTTTGTCTTATTCTTTTCTCTTTAATCAGTTGATGTTTAATAAATTGTATTTGCTTTGAACCTTATGAAGTGATCACTGGGCCAAGAAGGCCTGCAGTGTAAAGAGAGCACCTCGGAGTGGGAACACCCTAACTTCTGCCCCTAGTGACTACAAGGTCAGGGATTAAGCCCCAGGAAACCTGGGCCCAGCCTTGTTGGGGTTTCAAGGGCTCTGCTACTCAGGAGAGTGGAGGGGGAGCCCTCAAGATCAGGGAGCCGTGGGGTAAAGGAAGTGGGAGCGGGGACTAAGATCCTTTCGCTAGTTCATTTCACCCGGGTGTATAGAAGCCAGGAAAGTTCCCCACAATAGCGGGATCATTCCCCCGCTTACATAATGTTAAATTTTGATTTTATGCTGCATTCTAATGAAAGCAGGGTTTATGCAAATAGAGGCAAAACTGAATTCCAGGTCCACGAATTGTACACTTGCATGAGACTAGTCTAACACGTTTAGATGCCATTAATGCTTCTGATTCATAAAGTTTTGCAAGACAACAGCTTATTCCATGAATAACAAATGCCTATAGTCAAAAGGTCATTCTGAGATTAGTAAGAAAAAAAGAATGAAGGAAAATGTGATAGTGCAATTCTCTTACCTATGTTGCCTGAAAGCTGTTAGTGCAGCAACCCAAAATGGTAACATTGTTTTTAACACAAAACTGGATATCTTTGCTAGTTCTTCAGTTAAGGAAAGTGCTTCATGATTAAGATCTACCAATTAGCAAAAACAGGTTTTTTAATTAAATGCATATACTGAAATGTAGAGAGTTAAATTTACTGAAGAATTGTTCACAAACCTTCATTCAAAAATGCAAATTATTTCTGCTTAATAGCTATTCAAATACTCGATTAAGTTTTTCAACTTCAACTAAATAAAACTATACAGTTAAATATTTTAAAGCTCAGAAATGAAGAACAGTGATAAGATATATTATCAGTGAGATGCTGTACATGATAGACTAAAATAAAGCATGAATTTTAAATACTGGTTATTGTCTATTGGCAAGACTAGTGTACTCTACCATAATATCGACTTGAGTTCTGTTCCACTATTGTGGAAGTTCTGCATCATCTTCAAATAAATTTAGAAATATGGGTTTTATTTTTCATTTAATTTCATTAAGCCTCAGTATAGTAACCCTGTGCTACTGTAATAATTCAATTTCATGCTGTTCCTACATTTTTGTTTTTCTATGTTCCTCAGCTTGAAAACTAAAAATAACAGTTAACAACTCATCATGATAAATGGAGCATTTCAAACCTGTCAAAGCCTCTGTGTCAGGCAACCTGGACACACAGACATCACTGCATTGCTTTGCATGAGGCTCAAATTATGATTTTTTTCTGTAATCATAAGGGCTAGAAATATTTTTTTCTAAAAAGAAAGCTTAGATTCTGAAGCACAATGATGGGGGTAAACAACAAATTCTTAAACAGCTGTAGAATTTCACAATATTAAGGAGGCCCTGAATGTTGAGCTGGATTCTGCCTTGAGAGGCTTCGTCCTGGTCCACCAGAAGAATGAAGGTAGTACAAAGTGTCCATGATGCTCACTAACCAAGGCCTTGGGGAATACTGGTGCCACTCACAATCACATTGCTACAGGAGGGACATAGTTAGGGGCGGGGATGTAAAAAATGAATACAAATATTAACCATATAACCAATCAGAATTCTATCAATTACATGGTTAATGGCAGGGCCGCCAGCCCTGTGAAGTGGCAGGCCCATGCAGAGTTTAACTGTTAATGGTAACCAATAAGCATCAGCTTATTAGTTAACCGGTTAAACTCTTACATCCCTAACTGGGAAATTTAAGAGATTCCCACAGGCAGCATCTACTAACAAGATTTTTAGAGAAAACTGCCTTCTCCCCACCCAAAAAAACTATTCTCTGCTCTGGCAGAAACCCTGGGGTTACGGGAGTAATAGTTTTGCCCTTCCTCAGGACCGATCTCCAGTTGGTTGCAAAATGAAGCCCATCACAATCCCACATAAGTGAATGAAGCACACTGACTCTGCAAAGAGTTAAAAACTTTGCAGAACTAAAGTAGGAGATTCTTATTACACAGATTGTATTTTCATTATCAAAAAGATCAGAGTATGCGTTATAACAGTGTTTCTTAAACTTTTTAAGACTGAGGAACACCAAAAAATAGTTGTTTTTAATGAGGAACACCAAGGATTTTTTGTTGAGCAAAAAAATAAAGTAAAGAGGGTCGGGGGGAAAGTTATTGAGCCAAAAAAAAAAAAAAGGTCGCCTGCCCCTTTAAGAATGGCCATTTTGAACTCCGTTCTTCTCAGTGGCACACCAGTGTACCACGGAACACAGTTTAAGAAACACTGCATTATACTCTTTATAAGAAAGCTAAACTTCTTGGGGTTTATGCCCAACTCAAATTTTGGAAGATATTCCTCTTCCATTTAAAAAAAAAAAAAAAGGCCAACATTCTTCTGCAATTTAGTTTCTTCCTTTAACAGTGGCACACACAGATATCTTAATTCAGAGCTCAATCCTCTAGCTGTGGAACAGCCATTGTTTTCAATGGTAGTTTTGCATTTAAAAAAAATTCAGGAACCAATCTTAAAATGTCACAGGTTGGTAACAATTAGATACTTGCCTGGAAAAATGTCCAACTCCCCTACATTTGGGAAGACTATATAAGGGCGATGTATTAAAATGGTTTCAGTTTGCAGTAGGAATCTCCTTAGCAACTGGCCCAATCCTGCAGTTAAAAAAAGCAGCACAGAGCAATATCTAGGGGAAATACCACAACATTGCAATATGTTAGAAGAGAGACTTTACATATGTACCAGAAAAACTGATATTTGTGGCTTGGGGACATTCTGAAGAAATCTCCATGTACAAGATCTTGACATATATTGCTTTTTTAAAACAGCAGAGCTAATAAAAAGGGTCACCTGAGGGTCTCCCTGTCACCTGAGAACACCACCTTACATCTGATTAGATGAAGGAAAATAATGAATTATAAAAACCCATTTGCTAGCTGAGTTTGTTGGCTTTTCTATCTGTCCCATTTCTGTACCTTTTGTACCTGCTTATTTCCACTGCTGCTCGAATCACCTTCTCAACACACAGGGCATCAGGTTTCCCAAAAACAGCACTGACTTTGCTTCACTCACTTTTGTATCAGCACAATATTTTAAACTCAAAGTTTAACACCAAAGCAAAACCAACTCCTGAATGAATTCCCCACTCCTCCAAACACAACATGAAACTTGACTAATCAATGGAGACATGTCTGGAGCAGATCTGGGAAAACCAATGGCCATGGCAGTGCTTTTTACAAAGCTAAGTAGTGAAGTACTACCATGAGTTTTTGTCTCCACTCTGCCTTGCGCTCCCTATCAGCCTTTCCTCATACAATCTCAAAAAGAGATTCTGTTTACTAGTTTCATTTAGGCTTGCAATACTCTCTTGGGGGCAGGCTGAATAAGAAAGGGGATTGTTCTGAAAACCAACAGCCAGAAAAGTGTGGAGGAAAAATATACCAGTTTTTAATTTCAAGAGAGGTGATGGTTCTGATAAATGCTCCTCTATCACTTGCAGCCTGACAGGAAAGAAAGATATTTGGAAACACTTCCCTGGTAACTTACTTTGCAGGAATTTCTTGAGGGGAAGCAAATCCATGCCACAAAATGTTACGGAGATTTAGACCACATGGAGACCCAATGAATACTCTTAGTACATTCATCTGATTGGGACAGAGAAAAATTGTTGCATAAGCAAATATATATTTTAATGTTGGTTTGCCTTTCTCTTCCTAGAAAATATGACTAGAAACTAACTTATATTAACATCTTCAACAAGTTTCCTTGATAAGCTTAACCTCATCAAGGTGATTGATCACGATTTACAACAAAAGCCACAACAATAAAATCACTAGTGATGCATGGCAAACTCTAAAAGGAGATTACACCCCCAACCACCCCTTTTTGCTTGTACTAGGGATGTTCAATTTCGATTAATCAGCTAATCTTGACTACTTGATTAGTCGAGAAGAGGAAGGTGGGGGGGGTGCTTGCAATTCTGGCTATGCCTTTGCCTTTTAAATGTAGTAAGAGTCACAAGCAGCCTCTGTGCTGCTGCCTTTTAAATGTAGTAAGAGTCACAGGCAGCTCTTACTACATTTAAAAGGCAGCGGCACAGAGGGGAACTGTAGCGCTTTCACCTTTGAAATGTAGTAAGAGCCCTCTGCGGTTCTTGCTACATTTCAAAGGCAGAGGTGAAGCAGGAACTGGGCGAGTGGAGACTGAAGCAATCTCTGCTCATGTCGGGTCCCGACTGCAGCGCTTCTGCCTTTGAAATGTAGCAAAAGCCCCGCAGGGCTCCTGCTACATTTCAAAGACAGAGGTGGAATGGGAACTGGGGCAATAAAGCGGTAGCAACGCGGGGGGAGGGCGGGGGAGAGGAAGGGAAGAGGGGGAGAGGATGCATGTAGTCGTTAGGATTAACCAATAAGCCCAAGATGACTATACTCTAACATCCGTACCTCATCTATGAAGATTTTTTAGTTGGAGACTATAAGAATATCAATTGGGATGACTATCAACAGGGATGGTGTAGGTGGAGCTTGGTCCTGCCTTGAGGGCGGGGGGCTGCACTCGATGACCTCTTGAGGTCCCTTCCAGTCCTATTATTCTATGATTCTATGATTCAATGTATGTACATCACCATAAATCATATTTCCATTTCAGCAGGGGAGCTGACAGACTTGCTGGATCCCTGAGCAAAGTGGGGAGGAGGGGCAGACTCCATGCTCCCAGAAGAGACGGAGCCTTGGGTGGAGAGGAGGGGCTAGGAACAGCCACATATCAGAGCATACCATGCTGACCCCCCCATCCCCGGTAGCCAGCCTTTGAGCGCCACCCTGAGCGTGCGGTGATTTAAAGAGCCTGGGGCTCCCGATGCTGCCATGCCTGCTGCAGCAGCCAGAAGTTCCAGGCCCTTTAGAATTGTTGGGCTCTGGGGAACTTCCCCTTTAAGCCCTACTCCCACTTGACATCAGGCCTGCATTAAAGATTAAAATTTTAGCTAATCTTCTTGCAACACTCCCTCCACAAGATAATTGTTGTAAGTAATATTTGTAAGAGGATATCAACTATGTAAATACTACAATATTTACAAACTCCTGTTCAACTTAAGTTGTACTTTGCTTAGAACTCAATCATCTAATAAAAAGGACAATGCACCTCAGTGCAGTAAGAACTAATTTCAAAAACCACACACTCACCACAGATTGTCCAAAGACTTTTGCAAGCTCCTGAGATGCAAGCAAATCTCTTAAAAGGAACGGACAGTCCTTACCAATTAATAAGAAAACCTACAAATAAAAGCAGAATACTGTAAAATAAAGATATCTATACCCAATATATATTTACATATCTTAGGTAAACAACTATTTCATTTCTACATCCATACTCAGTTCAGCTAATAAAACATTTAAAAATCCTACTTTGAAATTTCATGAGATGATTAAAGGACAAATTGGAATAAGAAACTATCATGAATCAAATAACGTAAATCATAGAATCTTACATAAGCAGTTTCTCTGATTCCATTGCTATGCTAATTTCAGTACTAGACAGAAGGCATTCTGAATAACTAGAAATTAAAAGGTAAATTATTTCTACAAAGAAGCAAGAATTTGGTGAGGAGGAGGCATAGCAAGAAGCTTAGTAGAGTAAATGCAGGGTACAAAAAATGCCTGTTTGTATGGTAAGGATGTTAAAGACTAGTCGACTATGCTTATTGGATAGTCAGTTGACTAGTCGATCCCCCCCTCCTCCTTGCTGCCGTACCCTGCTGACCTCAGGCTCCATGAGGGCACTTCCACTTTGAAATGCACAAGATCCCCTTCTGGGGACTCTGGTACATTTCAAAGCTGGCACACCCATGTACAGCCCGGAGTCAGTGGGACTTTCCGCTGGCCCCAGACTGCACACAGAGGTCCACATTCTTCCTTTGAAATGTACAAGAACCCCAGCCTCTTGTATTTCCGCTTCTTCCTTTGAAATGTACAAGAGCCCCAGCCTCTTGTACATTTCAAAGGAAGAAGCGGAAATGTCTATTGACTAGTCAAGTAGTCGATGGAAATTCCATCGACTACTCAACTAGTAAATTAACCGCTAGTTAACATCCTTAGTGTGTGGAGGGGACTTGATAGTGGGTTTCAGCAAATAATCCAATAGCACATTTACTGGAACAGGCTAATCTAGCTCATGAATTACTACTTTGATGAAGATCTGTTATGAGAGTCAAATGTAGTTACTGACTCCATAAAGAACCACCACACATTTACAAACAAGATTATATGCCTAATTTTTCATTTTGCAAAGACTGGAATTCGCACCACACATTTACAAACAAGATTATATGCGTAATTTTTCAGTTTGCCAAGACTGGAATTCTTCAAACAGTGACCCTTTTTTCTCTAGACATTATTCCAGGAACACAGGCAAGGACTTGTGAATTTTTATTAACAAGAAATTAAATTTTAGAATACAGGGCAAAAGCCACAACATCATTCCTTGTTCTAAGAGGCCACTTTGGCCACAATGTAGAACAATATCATTCTAAACCTATGGGCAACATAAAGGAATATGCATGAAAAGCAAAGCCAATCGAGTGAAATTCCTTCAGTTTCATGAGAAACTGACTCTGCAAGCAGCCCAACACTCTATAATATGTTATAAAATAAGAAACCTGGAGACAAAGCTTCCAATTAGTGAAGAGATCATAAAGAGAAAAATGTTGCGGCGGGGGGGGGGGGGGGAAACATTTTAAATCACAAAAAATATTTTACTGTTCTAATATTCATAACTAATTATATTAGTCTCTCTCATCTAACTTTGTAATTAGGTCAAAAACTGAAATTACCAGCTGACACCTGGATTTCAAGGCAATATACAAGACTTATATCTTAGAAAAGAGGTGGTGAACCCCAACTGCAGGGAGGTGAGCCTCGCAGGCCAGATCAGGGCAGGCCAAGGCTCGATCTGGCCTACAGGCTTTGCCTGGCTCTGTATGCTGCCACTCTCCTGCCCTCTAGCTGGGGAAACAACAGTGCAGGGAGTCACTTGCCTGGAGGCTTTTCCCCGCTGCTCCCATTGGCAGGAATTACAGCCAATAGAAGCAGTGGAAGGCATGGAGTCGTGTGTGTCCCTGGTGAGCGACACAGGTAAGCACACCCGATCGGCCTCATGTATGCACCTTACCACCCACACCTCTAGCCAGCTCCAGCACCCCACCACCCACTTAGACTTCCTTCCCCCACCCACAGCCTGCTTGTTCTTGCACCTCACTTCCTGCCCAGACCCCTCCACGCTCCCTCCCATCCAGACCCCTCTACCCCAGCTGGCTTCCCAGCAGCCCCTTCCCAAACACTGAACCCCTCATTTTAGTCCCACCCCAGAGCCTAGGGGGGGTCTAGAAAATCAACTAGCTCAGGCCCCCCTAGACTCTGGGGCTCGAGTGTGAGGGGAGTGAGATGTCTTTTTTTCTGTTTCTCAGTCAGGGCCACATTAGTGAGGAGGTTTTGGTGTGTAGCTCTCAATTGATTTTTCCTCCTACTCAAAAAAAGTTTCCCACCCCTGTCTTAGAGACTGTCCTAGAAATTAACATATACAGTTGAAATTAAAATTCTGTTGTATAAAATCCACAAGCACAGTCCTTAGCTTTTTGAACCAAAACAACAGCACAACCTTAACTGTTTGCACTTACATCTCCCAAGGCTCGCTCTAGACATGATGTTAGTTTCATTAAGCTAAGTGCAATTGCTGTAGCTTCTGTGCTCTGTAGTGCAGCAAAAACTTCCAGAAGTAGCTGTGAGGCCAAAAGAGAAGGTAAAAGTTGTGTTTCACATTATCAAAAAGAAAATTATCAAACACCTACAAATATGGTTAGCGGAAATGAAGTCTTCCAAGTGTTTCCTTAGTGATTTTTTTCCCTACTCATATGCAAATCTATAGATATTTCTCTATCCAGGAGGCCAGATGGCAGAAACACTTGGCAAGATCATCACCTAGAGATTTCTGACACAAAAACAATTCAACAAAAGAAGAATCCATAAAAAGAAGCAAACATACATACTGGGCTTCAACGAAAAGCACAGTCCTATGCCCATCTACAGGCCAAAAATATTTAGTAGGTTTGATTGTGATAACATAGATAATTGTAATTATAAAACAAATCAACAAAAGCAGTAAGTGAACATATTTCAGCACAGTTCTCATCCTATTACTTAATAGGATGCCAATTAGTTACAATTCTGAAGGCTACAGAGGGTAATTTGCTTTGCTGTTTACTTTTGTGTAATCTGGTTCCAAATTCTTCAGGCAGTTGCACAATTTGAAATATTTATTGCCAATATTAGTTTTCGTACCTCTGTATGGTTTGTCCACTGGAACCACAATAAGTATTGTAATTTGAACTGTTCCATTGTCAGAGATTGTAGATGCAAATGAACAGATTCGCATAAAGGTCCTAACAGCTGCACACTTTTTATATAATCCACACTTTGATCTTAAAATGAAAAATAAAAGGATGGTCAGAGAACTGAAGTTCAAAAGGTCCATTGTCTCAAATCCAATGCAATATGAAACTTGTTCTTCTCAGGCTATGTTTTAAAAATCAAAAGCCCCTCCCATCCTACACAAATTGTTCTTTCAGAATTATTACGTTACTGTTCACTGTTCCTCAAGACATTTATTGTAGATGGGAAATGAACAAAAAATTACAATGGAAAACAAACCGAAAGTACCTATCTATATTAGGGATGTGAACTGGCTGAAAAGCTGTTTTGGTTTTAAAAATATGGTTAGAGGAAATGAAGTCTTCCAGGTGTTTCTCAGTGATGTTTCCCCCAATCATATGCAAATATATAGAGATTTATAAAGTATACATTTTGTTTTGTTTTTTCCTGTTTCAGTAAGGTTTTGTGTTTTAAGTCCCTCCCCTCCCCGCCACGAAGGTTTAAAGTGTTTTTTTAAAAGTAAATTCTGTAACACAACCTAACTATGATGCACTAGTTGTTGTACCATAACAACAACCATGCTTGCATGTTGTACCATGCTAGGTCTACCTTGACTTGTACTGTGTTTTTGCTTTCAAACACTTGACACAAAATAGATCTAAAGTAAATACTAACCTGATTCAAGGCAATACACGAGCTCTGTGATTGTTTTCCAACACACTTCACCATTTTCATACACGATACTATTAACAGAAAGGCTTTCTTTTATCTCAAATCCAAGTTTGCAAACCATATAATGCACTGCAGGGGAAAGACAGGTGGCGACTGGCTCAACTATTGACATCTAAGAACACAAAACAAAGGGTACTTCCTATTACCAGGAAAGAAAGTATAAAACAAGAAAGTTACTACATAGTGATGCTTTAACCTAAAGCATGTGTTTACAATGATGTTCAACATGTTGAACCAACTAGAGTCCATTAAGCTCTTGTGACCAGGATTCCAAGTGAGGCATTCTGAGACTGATCAATTAAGGGAAACTGCAAAGAAGGAGACAGACAAGCCTGAAAATTGAAGGTTATTTCTAATAATAAGATCCACCAAGCCAGTAACCAAATAGCTTCTCTACAATACTTAGGGTTGCCAGATGGTTTCAACAAAAATACCGGACACACTTGACATTACATCAAAATCTACATTACATCTTATTTAGAAAATACCAGACATTTATATTTTCTCAATTTGTTTCCCAAACAGATAGCTCAAATACTGGACTGTCTGGTTCAAATACTGGACATCTGGCAACCCTAACAAGACTGGTTAACCAGAAGCCAAAACACAGTGTCCTTAAAAGAATCCAGCCCTGGGCTGTTACCCAGACATCCAAATCAAATATGATGAGGATGAAAAATTCTTATTAATCATATAAAATGTTCTACCAATCCCAAAGGATCAGATGCATTACCCACCAGGTTAATGAATATTTTAGATCTTACCCAAATATATGCTTACAGCCAATTATTCTTCTCTAAATTACAATTTATTGAAAAATAAAAGTGTAGTTTAAAAGACCACTATACGTACAGACATGAACTAAGTTCTTAGATCAGTTTCATAGCAGAGATGGTTAGCTTTAGAGCTGCAAAAATTATTTCAGAATTAATTCCATAGGTCACAGCCCAATGTCCAATATAAGGAAGCTACAAGATCAGGGCCCAAGATTTCTTTTTATAGTTCTCTGGCAGGCCATCTATAGCCACTTGACAGCACAGCAAGCATTACTTGGGTGAAGAATAGTGACTCTGAAACAGACTTCTATTTCAGAAGCATCATAAATAATTAGGTACATGGGTTAGCACAAGGGTGGGTAAAAGGGCTTCTGCGGGTCACATATGGCCCACCAAGCGAGTTGAACCAGCCTGCAGAGGCCCTGCCTCTCCCCCCACCTCCAGAGCAATCAGGGCCCACGGGCGGGGGGAAGTGCGCAAAGTGTCCTTGTGCCCTGCCCTGTGCATGGCGCTTACAAGGAGACTTCACACACTCCCTTCCACCCCCAAGCCCTGATAGGCCTGGGGGCAAGAAGGAGTGCGCAAAGTCTCTTCCCGCCCTGTGAGGGGTGCAGCGTTTCTAAGGGGTGCAGGACAAGGGCAGGGTGGGAGAAGACTTTACGTGTTTCCTTTGTCCCCAGGCCAATCAGGGTTTGGGGGCAGGGAGAGCACGTGAATTCTCCTCCCGCCCTGCAAGGGGCTCTGCACTTAAAAGTGAACCACCAGCTGCTGCTCAGCTAGTTGTTGACTCTAAGGCTACGTCTAGACTGCAAGCCTCTTTCAAAAAAGAGCGTCTAGACTACAGGCAGTCTGGATGCTCTCTTTTGAAAAAGCACAGTTTGCATTACATAGCGCCTTTTTTGAAAAAGCACTTTTGAAAAATAGGCGTTCTTCCTCATAAAATGAGGTTTTCCACGGTCGAAAAAAATGTCACGTTCTTTCAATTTACTTTCAAAAGAACGCGGCAGCAGTCTAAACGCAGGGGAAGTTTTTTCGAAAAAAGGCCACTTTTTTTTCAAAAAAATCCTGTAGTCTAGACACACCCTAAGCATGGCCTTCCTTTGCAAGGTAGGGGCAGGGAGTGAGTGTCTTCACGTGCTCCCCTTCCCCAGGCCCTGATTGACCTGGAGGTATTCAGTGGGAGCATGCAAAGTCTCCTCCCACTGACAGGGGCATGGGTACCTGGAGGGAACCGCCAGCTGTTCAGAACAGCTGGCAGTTCTCTGGGGGAGGGGGGAGGAAGAGATTTTGCACTCTCTCTCTCCCTCAGACCAATTAGGGTGTGTCAGTGGGGAAGCACCCCTTCCGCCTGAGGCCCTGCTCCTTCTGGGGCAGCCCAAGGGCACTTAAAAAATTTCTGAAGTGGTCCCTGTTCAAAAATCATTGCCCACCTCTGGTTTAGCATAAGGCCGTGTTTCTCTAAGCGGTCCGCGGGCCCACTCCGAGAAAGGTGCTACCTGGCCACTCCGGTTTGTTTACTTACCATCTCCACAGGCACAGAACCTCGCAACTCCCATTAGCTACAGTTTGCCATTTGCAGCCAAGGGGAGCCGTGGGAAGCAGAGAGGGATTGTCATCTATGATAGGTTGTAGATCCGTGATGCGTAGGAGAGGTTTTAGCTGGAGACTGTGGATACTGGCTAGTGGCATTCTGTTGCTTTCTTTGTTGGGTTTGTCCTGTAGTACAGGGGTTCCCAAACTTTTTGACACGGGGACCAGTAAATCCATTCACGAACTTTTGGAGGACTGGTAATGTTCATTTGCATATTTATTAATCAAATGATGAATATTCAAATAAGTTGTTTCTGGTCCTCCCAAAACCCCCAGTGCCAGCTTTAGCAAAGCTTTTGATATGGTCACCCACAACATTCTTGCCAGCGAGTTAAGGAATATGGATTGGATAAATGGACTGTAAGACAGACAGAAAGATGGTTAGACCAGGGTTTCCCAAACATTTTACTTTAGTTGGAACCCTTTTTTTTCAGTACTGCTTTTTGCAGCCCAAAAATATAAACACATAAAAAACAAACTGAGAAAATACCAGACATATAATATATCTGGTATTTTCTCATTAGGTAAGTTGTATTAGATGTATCGGTTTGTAGTTTCGAACTGCCTGGCTGGTAAATGTGCTCAGACTGCATGAAAGTGTCTACCAGCCAGCCAGTTCGCAACTACTCGAGGGGTGTGTGTGTGGGGGGGGACAATAGAATCCCCGGGCAGCACTAACTCGTGCTTTGCGGGGGAGGGGGAAGAGGAGAGAAACAGGGGCAGCGTCAAACTCATGGCTTGAACAAAGATCTGAACTGTATGTGCCATTATTAAACCTGATTTCCTTACATTCAACACCCAACTGACAGCAAAAGCTAAGTCTGCGATACTTCCAGACCACTCATTTAGCCTCATAAGTGTTGGCACCACAATTGACAGGTACTTCCCCTCTCCCCTTCTTTTTCTGTTATAAATTGTGAGAGTCCCCCCTTTTCTCTCCACTCTGCTCATATGGGGAAGTGGGTTCTGTTCATGATTCTACAGGTTGAACTTCCCTTATCTGGCACCCTTGGGACTGGAGTCCCAAACAAGGAAATTTCCTGGACCAGAGGAGGTTGGGCATCCAGGCTCTCCCAGGGCTCCTCCTCCTGGCAGCTGCCCTGGGAGAATCCAAAAACCTGATCTCCTGTCCACCTACCTGGGTCTGCTGCCCCCAGCCCACTCACATGGTTTTGCTCCCTGCTCCCAGCCCTGCGTGAGGTGGCAGATGCTCCTGGGATTCATCAGCTGTATGCGTGGCAACGGCAGCTGCTCACAGGGTTTCCCGGCCTCCCGTGCAGTGGGACAGCTGCTCCCAAGGTTCCCAGGCCCTGAGTGTGGCAGCAGCAGCTGCTCCTGGGGTTCCCCAGCCATGCATACAGTGGCAGTTACTCCCACAGTTCCCCACTTCATGCCCTGTGGGGCAGCTGCTCCCAGGGTTCCCTGGTCCTCTGAGCAGCAGGACAGCTGATCATGGGGCTGCCAGGCTCCACCCAGCGGAACAGCCGATCCCGGGGTTCCCCACCCCCATACACTGCAGGACAGCTACTCCCAAGGTTTCCCAGCCCTGTGTACTGTGGCAGCAGCTACTCCCAGGGTTCCCCAAAATCCCAGAAGCAGCTGTGTGGCAGCTGCTCCCAGGACTCTTACCCCCAGGTCACTGCCCCTGCAAGCTGCTGCCAACTAAACCAGCTCCGCTCCCAGCCATTCTCAAGTTCTGCAGCTGGGGCTCTCTGGTCTAGCAACATCTGTGGTCCTGCAGGACCATGGATATTGCCAGACCAAGGAGTCCTGGATGAGAGAGGTTCATCTCTGTATATGTATAGTTAGTTAGTATCTAAGATGCTACAGGACTACTCATTGCTTTTTTAAAGTTACAGACTAACATGGCTACCTCCTGAGACTTTTACCACAGTTGAGTAAGGGTTAATCTACACTGCAACACTATTTTGAAATAACCAGCGCTATTCTGAAATACCTTAGTCTGCGTCTACACAGCAGGCAGTTATTTCAAAATAGTGTAAAAATACTGTAAAGCTGGAGGATTTCTTACTCCAACTCTTGTAACCCTCATTGTACGAGGAAGAAGGGCAGTTGGAGGAAGAGTGCTCTATTTCGAAATAAGTGTGTGTAGACGCTCCCTATTTTGAAATAAGCTACGCAACTGACGTAGCTCAATTTGCGTAGCTTATTTCAAGTGAAGCATTGCAGTGTAGATGAACCCTTAAGAGTCCAAGCTCTGCTTTAACTCTAGCTAAAACCCACACACTACGTCTACACTGGCAGCTTCTTGCACAAGAACTCTTTTGCGGAAGAGTTCTTGCGCAAAAAGTCTTCCACAAGAGTGTGTCTACAATGGCATGTGCTTTTGCGCAAGAGCATCCATGCCAGTGTAGACGCTCTCTTGCGCAAGAAAGCTCCAATGGCCATTTTAACTATAGAGGCTTCTTGCACAAGAATTTCATGTTGCCTGTGTATACTGGCCGCTTCTGGAAGAGCTCTTGCACAAGAGGGCTTCTTCCTGAGAGGGAGAGTCAGAGTTCTCGCGCAAGAAGCCCTGATTTTCTACAGTACAATGTCAGTTTACTTGCGCAAGAACATGCGGCCAGTGTAGACAGGCGGCATGTTTTTGTGCAAGAGCAGCCATTTTTGAGCAGTGTAGACACAGCCACACACTTTACTGTGAGGATAAGCAAAAAAAATCACACTAGCGTGCTGCTAATTCTCCAATGCTTTCCTACAGTTCCCTCTGAAAGATAGACAAATTCTCCCACAATAAACTGGGAAAGAATTTTAGAGTGCCTTGTTACAATACACTAGGGGGCTGCCCCCCCTGCTCGCTCCTCTCGCTAACCCCTCTCTTGGCCAAGGAGGGCCAAGGGCAAAGGCTGCCTTGGCCCTACCTCTTCCCCTGACCCCCACCTGAGAGGCCAAGGCCACCCCAGCCCTTGCTCTCACACACCCCAGCTGGCCTCAGCTCTTGGGCCCTCCAGGGAGGGGGGAAAGGGTGAGGTTGCACACAGTTTTCCCCCCGGCCACTGCAGAAAGTCCAGGGTGGACCTGGCTTTTCCTGCCCCCAGCCACTGGGGAGGATCCGAGGCTGTCCCAGCTCCCCTCCCCCCCTCCCAAAAAGAGGCCATGGCCACCCCAGCCCTTCCCCCCTGCTGGGAGAGGCTGGGCCGAAGCCACGCCGTGCCAAAGCCACGCCAGGCCCAGCTCTCTCCCCAGCCATGGGGGGAGGGTAGGGAGGCATTCCAGGCCAGACTCTGCCGCCCAACCCCCCTACGACTGCGAGGCAGGGCAGAGGCTATGCCAGCCCCAGCTCTTCCCCTTTCCCCCAACCTTGGCAGCCCCAGCTCTTTCCTCCTGGCTGCCAGGGGCAGGGAGAAGAGCCAAGCCGAGGCTACACCAGGTCAGGCCTACCTTCCGCCAGAAATGGGGAAGCAAGGCCAGGCCAGGCCAGCCCCAGCTCTCTCCCCTCGGCCTCATCAGGCCCAGCTTTCTCCTTACAGCCAATGGGGGGGGGGGAAGAGTTGGGCCTGGCTCTCTCCCCCCAGGCCACAGGACCTCACAGCAGCAGGCCCATCTGTCTCCAGCAGCCAGGATGTTGGGCCAGGTGAGTCTTTCACCCGAGCATGGGGGAGGGCCACATGGCTCATGGTTCCCATCGGAACACCGGGGAAGGGGGAGGCCAGGAGGCTGAAGGCAGAAGAAGAGGCTGTGGGACATAGAGTGACACATGACATCACACTGTCATCCCACAGGAAGTTTGTTTATATAGAGAGATGATGGAATATGCTGCTGACACACAGGCAAGTCCAGAGTGAGTACACAGTAATTAAAGCATAACTTTGCAGCTGCGATGCTCAACACTACAAAGCTGATCATTCTGCTGAAAGAGATACCTGATAAAGCATTGGGGATACGGCCTATCTATCCCCAGAATGTTCAGTTGAATTTAAGGAAGAACATACACACACCAAACAAACAAAAACCCAGACGAAAGACACTCCGAAAGGTGTGTTGTTCTAAGGTTGGCTCAACAAGTGAGCAAGACACAAATGGGCCACTTCCTTGGAGAAGAATTGAACCCTCGCTGTAAGAAACTTATTGACCTTATCAAAATACCTAAAAGCACACACTAATCATATGGCAAGTTCAGAAACTGTCCAGCCAGAGGTAGTACATTTCTTTTCTTGAAATATTAACTTTCTGTACTACTAGATGACAGTGTTAAAAAGCATATTTAACAGACTGCAGACATAGCAGCTTGATTGGGTAAATTACAAATAAAAGCTGTACCTTATGGCCACGTCAATGTAACATTTAACAATGTAAATCAAAGTGTAATGTCCTTAAAAAGTGATTTAAACCCCTCATACACCAAGTCAGGACTAGGACACCGCTAAGTCTGAAATTGGCCCACTTTAAGAGTCAGGGTGATATCCCCACGTCCTAGGCTCTGCCTGTTAGTGCCTCGAAGAGTTTAATGTCTGTTTCACTGACCTCCGCTGAGCCGCTCTCATTTAGGGGTGCAAGTATCAGAGCAAAAAGTTAAACTACTTCGTGTAACCGGTTAACTGGCTGGCGTCCCGCCGAGGGCCCGGGCGGCGCGCTAGGGGGGTTAGCGCTTAAGGTCTGGTTAACGGGAAGTCTCCGTTCACCGTGTAGCCTTTCACGTCCCTGCTTCAGCCAGCAGTAAAGAAACAAAACGCCGAGGAGATTCCCCTCGCAGGGAGCCTCCCCCCCGCAAAGCACCCGGCTACGGGGGCGCGGGGCGGAGCACAGAGGCGGCTTCGGGGCAGTAGGAGCCGTTATCCCGGGTCCGGGCTCCAACCGGAGCCAACCCCCGGCAGGGATCCACGCCCAGCCCGCGAGGCGGACAGCGGGTAGCTCGATCCATGGAAACGGCGCCTCGCTCTGCGCCAGCTCCCCTCGCCCGCCCGCCCGCCCGGCACCAACTCTCCGAGAGAGGCGCCGCAACGCCGCCCCCTCCCCGGCCGCGCGCAGTTACCTTGGCTACTTCCGCCTTCCCCCCGGTCCAGCCCACAGCCAGTGACGCGTGGCGCGCCGTGACGTCACAGCACGTGCGGGGGAAAGCCTCGCTCTGACGTTGCGCCCTGAGCCGGGCTGTGGCGCGCGAAGCCGGAACGTTTTTGTGACCGTTGGGCGGCGGTTGGGGGAAGGCGCCGAGCCGGCTCTTCTCGGCAGAGGCGGAAACCATGGACAAGCACGCGAAGGCTTCGAAGCCTCCCGGCTTTCCCTCTGGGACGAAGACGGAGCGGCGTTTGAGCATGTTCGAGAAAGACAACGTGAGCGGCCGGCAGGGCGCGGGCGGGGGCGCGGGCTCATTGGTGTGTCGGGGCGGGACTGCGGCGGCGAAGGCGAAGGCGGCCTGTTGTGGGGGCAAGAAGGGCATTGGCAGCACCTTCGAAACTGATAGACATCGCTCGTAGCGTGAGCTCTCGTGGGTGCAACCCGCTTCAGGTGATGACGGATACCAGCAAGCGGCACAGAGAGACAGCTCTAGAGAGAGCAAAGGGGAGAGAGGGAGGAGAAACCCCTCTCAATTCAACGTGTCTGGGCTAAATGCGGTTAAGAGAGTGGGCTGTAAAAGATACTTCGCTTTGGTGTGTGGAATCCAGTTCATGTTTTTGTTCGAGGCATGAGAGACAGTGTCAGATTTGCATATGAAGGCCAATTCTGCAGACTCGCGCTCTAGCTGATTCCTGAAATTATTTTGTAAGTAACTAGCCAGCTTTAAATCCATTGACTAGTGCCCGGACCAGTTAAAATGTTCCCCAGCAGGCTTCTCTGTGTTACCATTTCAAATATCTGATTTGTGTCCATTAATCCGTTGTCGTAGAGACTGTCCAGTTTGGCCACTATACATGGCAGAGGGGCATTGCTGGCACTTGATGGCGTAGATCACATTAGAGGATTTGCAGTTGTATGTGCCTCTAATGTTGTGACTTATGCTGTGATTGTGTAACTACGTGGACAGCATTGGCAACAGAGTTGATTGCAAGTTTGTGTTCCTTGGTGAGTATGTTTGAGGTGTGATGCATGGTTGTTGAAAAGAACTTGTTTCAAACCAAAGAGCCAAACTATGTCAAAATTCAGATCAAGTGGTGCATCTTTTTGCACATTTCTTTGAAGTTTACATCCTAACTGCTCGACTCCAGCTTCATGCAAGAATTCAGGTTGTCTTCTGTCAGTCTTACGGCAGGGAACTGGAAGACAGAACTATGTAGCACTTTAAAGACTAGCAAGATGGTTTATTAGAGACCTGGGGATGTGTGGGTGCAGGATTCTGGGTTGGAGTGTGTGGGTGCAGGATTCTGGGCTGGAGTGTATGAGGGGCTTGGCAGGGGATTTGGGTGTATGATGGACTCAGGGTGCAGGAGTTTGGGGATGTGCAGGTATGAGGGGCTCAGGGCAGGGGGTTCAGGTATATGACAGGCCCAGGGTTGGCATGGGGGGTACCAGAGTGTTGTGGCAGGGGGCTGGGGATGTAGGGGTATGAGAGACTCAGGGCAGGGGGTTCAGTTGTAGGATGGGCTCAGGGTTGGTGTGTATGGAGGGTGCAGGAGTGTTATGATGCTGCTGCCAGATGGGGACTGGGTCCCAATTGGGGGCTTGTTAGCCAGGCTTCATTTTTAAATAAAGTAAACTATTATATCCAACACAAAAGGTGTCAACGTTGTCTTTATTTATGGCAGGAGTGGGGAACTTTTTTGGGGTTGGGGGAGAGAGAGGGAGGATGCTGACCCATATAAAAATCAGTAGGGGACCACATAACTGAGAAACGGGGGGAAAAAAAAACCTCCAACTCTCACTGATGAAACACCTCATTCCCCTAGTGCCCAGCTACTCCCCTGCTCCCAGGTCAGTTGAGACTGGAGATCGGGGAGTTCATGAAGTCTCCTCCCTCCTCCCCTGCGAGGCATTATGTTTAAACTGGTTAACCAAATAAGCCTAGGCTTATTGGGTAGTAGAGTAATTACTCACTTCTCCCCGCCCCTTTGCTGCCTCTGGAGCAGCAAGGTGTTGGGGAGAGTGGCTTAAAAGTTCCATGATATGTGGGGGAGAGAGGGCAAGGGAGGTAGAGCCACTCCCAGAGCTAGCTCCTGAAACTGGCAAGAGCCGGGACTCAGCAGTCACAGCTTGCGCTAGCTCTGGGACTGCTGGGGCTCTATTTTAAATGTTGTAAGAGCCAGGCTGTCTGTTTGCCCAGCTCCTACTACATTTAAACTGCAGAGCTGTAGCAGAGGTAGCTCCTGGACCCAGCAAGAGCCAGGACAGAGCACTTCCCCTTATCGACTAATTATGTAGTTGATAGATATTGAATGGACTTCACAATTAGCCTATTACCCACTTCTTAACATCCTTAGTTCTGCCCTCAGTTATGCCTGTTGAAGAGAATGATTTTATAAGAGGTTACGTCTATATTGGCAAGATTTTGCGCAAATACTTTTAACACGAGAGTTTTTGCGTTAAAGTATTTGCGCAAGAGAGCGTCTACACTGGCATGTGCTTTTGCACGAGAGATGTGCTTTTGCGCAAAAGCATCCGTGCCAGTGTAGACGCTCTCTTCCGCAAGAAAGCTCTGATGGCCATTTTAGCCATCGGGCTTTCTTGCGCAAGAAATTCGTGTTGCCTGTCTACACTGGCCTCTTGCGCAAGAACAGTTGCACAAGAGGGCTTTTTCCTGAGTGGGAGCGTCATAGTTCTTGCGCAAGAAGTACTAATTTCTTATATTAGAACATCAGTGTTCTTGTGCAAGAACTTGTGGCCAGTGTAGACAGGCGGCAAGTTTTTGCGCAAAAGCAGGTGCTTTTGTGCAATATCTTGCCAATGTAGACACAGCCTAAGTGTAACTGAGGGCAAAACTTGGCTGTGCAGGATCTTTATTAATGATAAAGATAAACAAAAATGAGAATTTCTTCAGTTTCAGATCCCAAAGTGAGTTTCATGGGCAGGGGGTATAATAGGCCAGGGAAGAGTCTTTCCTTCACTTGCTGGAGTTGCAGCACACTGGGTTGCTGATTTTTGATTATGTGTTATGCAGATTCTGGGGCAGCCGAGTCAGTGGTATCTGTGATTCAGCTTCCTGGGTTCATCAGTCGTCTCCCTGAACTCTGAGTAACAGATACTATATCCTCTGCTGCCTCATAACCAGCATGGCACATATAAAAAGATGGGGGGGGGGGGGGGGGAGTGAGAAGAGGAGGCAGGTGTGCAGTGTTTCCAGTTCTTTGGACTTGGACTGAGACTGGCTGGGGCAAGCCTGAGGCTGGGATCAGTGGGGCAGCCAGCAAGGCTGGGGTTGACCAGCTGTTGGAGCTGCATGAGGCAGGCTGGGGGGACACG